GGGAGACTTTGTTGGCACAGTTGGAATGGAAGTGGTTTACAGACGTTGTGTGTTTATGTCTTGGAATGGAAGGGGTTTACAGACGTTGTGTGTTTATGTCTTGGAATGGAAGGTTTGCAGACGTTGTGTGTTTATGTCTTGGAATGGAAGGTTTACAGACGCTGTGTTTATGTCTTGGAATGGAAGGTTTACAGACGCTGTGTTTATGTCTTGGAATGGAAGGTTTACAGACGCTGTGTTTATGTCTTGGAATGGAATGTTTACAAACGTTGTGTTTATGTCTTTGAATGGAATGTTTACAGACGCTGTGTTTATGTCTTGGAATAGAATGTTTACACACGTTGTGTTTATGTCTTGGAATAGAATGTTTATACACGTGTTTATGTCTTGGAATGGAATGTTTACACATATTGTGTTTATGTCTTGGAATGGAATGTTTACAGACGCTGTGTTTATGTTTTGGAATGGAAGGTTTACAGACGCTGTGTTTATGTCTTGGAATAGAATGTTTACAGACGTTCTTGGAATAGAATGTTTACAGACGTTGTGTTTATGTTTTGGAATGGAAGGTTTACAGACGCTGTGTTTATGTCTTGGAATAGAATGTTTATACACGTGTTTATGTCTTGGAATGGAATGTTTACAGACGCTGTGTTTATGTCTTGGAATGGAAGGTTTACTCATGTTGCGTTGATGTCTCTGACAGGAGATTGTGGTGGGCAGCAACATGGACAAAATCTACATCGTGATGGACTTTGTGGAGCACGACCTCAAGAGCCTGATGGAGAGCATGAAGAACCCGTTCCTCGTTGGTGAGTCTCGTCTGTGTCGCTCGCTTTGTTTGTTTGTTTGTTTGTGTCAGGTACGTGCGTGTGTCATTCCTCGTTGGTGAGTCTTGTCTGTGTCGCTCGCTTTGTTGTTTGTGTCGGTACGTGTGTCGTTCCTTGCAGGTGAGTCTCGTCTGTCTCTCGCTTTGTTTGTTTTTGTCAGGTACGTGTGTGTGTCATTCCCCGTTGGTGAGTCCCATCTGTCTCTGCTTTGTTTGTGTCAGGTATGTTCGTGTGTCTTTAGACAGACTGTCACTTTGTTTGTGTCAGATGCGTGTCTCCAGCAATACAGACCAGTGTCTGTGGTGTAATGTTTAGTCTCTTCATCTTTGCATTCTGAAGACATGTTCGTCTCATTTGTGTTGAACGTGTGGTTAGTTGGTGGGTGCTCTGGTGTGGTTTGTTCCTTCCTCCCTATCAAACATCTATCTTCCTTATCTCTTCTACATTCTTTCTTTGTATGTCACTCTCTCGTAACACCTCAAAAAATTTAGTACTTATGTGACTGACTTACTTTTTGTTGCAAGTGGCGTAAAACTACTGAAACTAAAGACGAAGCAAAATAGATGGTCTGTCGCATTGTGTCAGAAATGTGTCTCCGACGATTCAGACTGCTGTTGGTGGTTATAATGGTTTGATTTTCCACCATTGCAAGCAGAATGTGTGGATTAGATATTAGATTCTTGTTAGGAAGTTATTTTATTGAATGTCGGCATCATCTGTGTCACGGAATGTTGAATTCCGCTTAGGTTTTGTCCAGACAGGCAGAATGGAAGATGCCTGTTGCCTCCTGAACTACCATCAAAGGGGATGTCAAACATTTACTTTTATTACAGTCAATTGATGGTATTGGTGATGTGGACAGGCCATGTGTCTGAGATTGATGTCCCTTGTGGGTGGTTGGTGGGTGCTCTGGTGTGGTTTGCCCCTTCTTTCCTATCATTAACGAAACTTTTGTTGTCCCTTTCCCTCCTCCTTTTTTGTGTGTGTGTTTCTTACTCTATTGTAACCCCTAATCTTCGGCAATTTGTGTTTATGACTCTAGTGTCTTTATAGGCCATTCCCAAAGGGGGGACATTTCTCGTTCAAGCACAGTAGAATTGTAAATGGGCTGACTCATCATGTCACGCTCATAACTGTCCCTGATCTACAACAGGGAACTGCTGTTTTTTCTTTCCTGATCCTTACTATTGTCATTTCCTGTACTTCTTTTGTATGTTTGTCACTCCCTTGTGACCTGCTATTTTGGGG